TGTTAGAATAAATCCTAAAATTTCACATCACAAGGGAAAATATTTTTTTTCTTTCTGTTGTCTGTAAATAAGATGATGGTAAGCTTATGGTAATCATTTCACAGTATATATGTTGTTATGCTATACACCTTAGACCCATACAATGCTATATGTCAATAATAAAACTGAGGAATAAAAAGAAATACCTATTCACAAATTTTTTAAAAAACACAAACTTAGGGATACCTGGGTGGCTCAGTTGGTTATGTGTCAGACTCTTGATCATGTTGGGCTCTGCACTGGGTATGGAGCCTGTTTAAGATTCTCTCTCTCCCCCTCCTTCCATCGCATGCTCTATCAAAACAAAACAAACTTACCCAGAGATCTGGCCTTTCTCCCAGCTCTTGGGAGGTAACTTCTAAACCTCTAGAATGAAGAGGTTGGCCTTTGCTAGCAGTTCCTGGGAAGGAGCCCCTAAATCTTTGGGACTTCCCAAGTCATAAGAGTGTCTGGGTCCTGATAGTTAATGCTAATTAGGCAACTCAGGATGGGGACTAGCATGACCATTAGGCCACAGTGGTCTCAACTGAGGGGACAATGATCCAGTCAATTGCACCTACAGAACAACACACCAGTAAAACTCTGGACACCAAGGTTCAGGTGAGTTGCCATGGCTGGCAGTACCCTGTACATTGCCATGCATCAAGGTTCTGGGGAGGTGGCACATTCTGACTCGATGGGGAGAAAACAGAGGAAGCCTCATGTTTGGGATCCTCCTAGACATCACCCTCTGTGTCTGTTCTTTTGGCTCGTATTACAGGTTACACAGCTATAACCTTACGTATTTTTCCAAGTTCTGTGGGTCACTCCGGAGAATTATGAACCTGAGGAGGTAGTGTGAACTTTTGAATTTGTAGCCAATTGGCCAAAAGTGAGGGTGGGCAGGGAATCCTTGAACTTTGCAGCTGTGTGAAGTGAGGGCAGTCTTATGGAAGCCATGCCCTTAACCTGGGAAGCATAACCCAACTTCACACAGTTGGCATCAGAAGTCATTGTACGAAGTTTGGCAAACTCGTGCCACAGTCCAGAGGAAGGATCCAAAATATGGTTGCAGGGCCTTCCTCATACACTCACGTGGATTCTGTCCTTCACAAGATGACCTGAGGAAATCAGTAGGAAGAGGAAGGTCAGAAAGCAGAGGAAGGGAGTGGACAGGACAGAGAAGCAAAATCTCAGGAGGAAAGAGCCATGTGGTCCTGGGGCCCAGGAATCTCACTCCACCAGAGCAAGCAGCAAGGGTGCTAGGACCTCACCAGGGCCGAGGCAATTAGACTAAGGCAGCAGGGCAGGTTGTGAGGCATTGACAAAGACAACTGATTTGAAAACCAGGAAGACTGTGGTTCTTTTCCCTAATTAGGATGTATTTCAGTTCCATTTATAAAGTGGTCATTCCTGACACCTCAAGATAGACACGCTTTACCTAGGGCCCCCGTACTGCTAAGGACCCATGGACCTGATGTGACCCAGGCTAAGCCCCACCTGGTGCCACTTGTCTTTTGTCAGAATCCCAAACCGGGAGGAATGGCATCCCTGAGTGCTGGGACAGGAAAGAGTCTGGGTTCTACCCAGAGAAAGAACCTCAGATCAGCTTTTCCATAAGAGGATAGTTTCCAAGATGCCACCTGTACTTGGAAGAAGCCAGGCTGAAACACTATTCAAGTCAAACTTTCTTGATATTACTCTATCTTTCCCCAGGAGGACTGCACTAGAACAAATTCGGACACCTGTGGCCTCTTCCTTCTGTGCAAACAAAAAGCCAGCAGCAACCCCAAGCTGATAAGATTAATCTAAAGAGCAAATTATGGTGTAATTTCCTATGCTGATACTTTGTAGTTAATTTTAAAAAAAGGTTTCATTTTCCTATTGGTATGATTTCACAGGAACATTTTACCTATTTCTGTGAGGTATTTTTTCTCCTGGAAGAGAGGTGCTGATTGGCCCCAAATGACTGACAACTTGGTGTAACGAAAATTTCCAATTTCCCTCATTTTCCCTCAGTTTCAGCAATTTTAAATCTATATATATAGAGATATCTGTCAGAATTGCATTGTGAGCCTCTCCTAGTAAACTGATTTGTCTGCTATTGTCACTGCAAATAGAGATCTATTAATGGGTCTCACCTCCCAACTGATTCCAACTCTGGTCTGCTTACTAGCACTCACCAGCACCTTCGTCCACGGACATAACTTCAATCTTACTATTAAAGAGATCATCAAAATGTTGAACATCCTCACAGCGAGAAACGTGAGTAAGCTATCTGGCACCATCTCTCCAGATGTTCTGGAGATGCCGTGGGTATTTCTTAGACTCTGAGAAGAACATCACAGCTTCCAGAGAAGTTGGTGGTTGGTGACGGACAAGGAGCAGAGTAGAGATTGCTCTGCAGCAGCGTTTCTGTCCTGAGGGATTGTGGGAAGTTTGCTTGGTCGGAGGGAGTGAGGGCTGCCCAACAAGCATCCCTCTGTACAATTGGAAGTGACTGTCTCTTGCTCTCTCATTCCGGGCCAGGACTCATGCATGGAGCTGACTGTCAAGGACGTCTTCACTGCCCCGAAGGTAAGAGCTGTCCCGGCGTCCGCTTTGGCTCATGAGTGACTTGGGAGAGGAAAGCCATCCACAAGTGTCTGAACAAGAAACTTTTCTTTAAAAGAAAGTGAATAGACCCAGATGAACTAGAAGGTGTTAGAGGTTTTTAAGAATGAGAATTCTGATCTTTACTTTCAAGCATGTTTTAGTGTTTCTGGTTTCACATGGTTTAGAAGATGTGTAGTGGAGAGCTTGGATTTTGTGATCTTAATTCAGACATTGGTCAAGGGATAGCTCCTTCTTTTCCTCCTATATCCCAGCCTAGTACCGGGAACACGGGAGGTGCTCAATAAATGCTTGTTGAAGGAGAGTTTTTCCAGCCCGCACATTTCTGAAAAAAACAAATAGTGTCACGAAAATAGATATGGAGATTACAGGCTGGGGGAGCTTTCATTTTGTCTAAGAGACTTCCTACGGCAACAGAGAAGGTATCGCCAGAGCCCCTCCTTTTCCGCAGCCTGGTCACCTAACAGCTCACTGGCTCTGGGGGTGGCAATCCAAAGACCCTCGCCTGCAATGTCCTGCCAAGCCCCTTCCAGCCCAGTCTGGAACTGTCCCGCCACAGGGGTTCCCCACTCATCCCTGGCCCTGGCTGCTTGGGCATCTCGCCTTTCCGCCTCCTGTGCCATCTCACCCCCGCCCCTCTATCTTTAGTGGGAGGAGACAGATTTGACAGCTGATAGTACATTTTCTCTGACAAACATATGACTACAGCCATGTCAATAGGTTTGTGCACATCAGTTCCTGTTTTCATGGAAACACAAGACTGAGAATGAAAAACCCAAAGCTTCAATTTACCAGTGGTCTCCTAACCACCTGCTTTCCACGTGGACTAGAAGAGGATAGGGTGGCCAGGAGTAGAGCTGTGTAGGCCCAGCACCCAGGCCACAGAACAGACTCATCCTACCTTGTGAGGGAAACTTCTTTAGGCTCTGTCTGGGCTATCTCATCTCATTAAAGATTAGTCCAGGAATCTAATATACAATAATACATAATGTAATACAGCCATATATATTAATGCATAATGTATAATATATATTATATAATTTTGTCCTTTAGCATCTCATCCTGTTTCAGACTCTATCAGGAGGCTGGAAGGGCTTGGAGATTTTATACATACATGGAACTATATAATATATAAATATCATCTATCAACATTTTATATACATATGAGATAGCCAAGAGCCTACAGGGCTGTGCCTGGGTTCTCCAGATGGCACCGCACTGCTGGGAGGGCTCTATCAAAGCCAGGGATTAGGCTCCAAAGTGCCGAGTGTCTTGAAGTGACACACAGCCTGTGGCTTTAGGCACACTTTTGCTGTTAACTAGCTATGTGGCCTTTAGCCAGTCTCTGTATCTCTTTGTGCCTCAGTTTCCACATTTGAAGATATGAAAGTGATTTTGAAAGTTGGTTGGAATTCAATTCTTGAGTTAGTGGAAAGTGTTAATGTAAAATGATCTAACTCTTAGTTAAAGGCAAAAACTGGTTATAGAGGAGCAATCATTCTAAGAAGGAGGGGCTGGTGGCTAGAAAAGATCCAACTCTCTGTGACTCCACTCTGAGCCATCTCTAGAAGACCAAGCCAGCCTCATCCTTGCCGAGGTGCAGGCCAAGCTGCACAACCTATCTGCTGCTCTTGGCCATCCTCTTCATCAGTTATCACACAGGTCCCTCACTGCATGGGTAGACATCTGCTGAAACAAAGTCCCCACTGTCCTCCTTCATTCCTACCTGTCTCATATGCCTTCCTCAAACTGCTTCTATTCCAAGGATTACCAATCTCCTCGTTCCATTCTTTCTTTTCCTCAAAGACGCAGCCCTGCTTACTTATCTACTAGGATACTACAGAATAAGGAAAGGATGTTATTTTCAAAGCCCATCAATGGGGTATGTGGGTATCTTGGTGTTCCCAAAGGAAGACATCTTTCCAAAATCCACTGTATCAGTTTTCTTTCTTTGGCGGATCAAGAATCCTATTATCTTCAAGTCAGGTGGGATCCTGTTCTTGGTAGTTGCTGGAAAGAAAGTGCTCATCTAAATCCTGTACTTCACAGGCAATGTTTACCCAGCATCTCTGAAATTAAGGTGGTCTGAGAAACAGCAAAGTAGAAAACAAGCAAGCTGACTGGTCTGTGATAGATTTCTTGGGTGGACCATTAGTGGAAGGTATTTTCTACTTTCAAAGAGAGGTCAAATCCATGATTCCTCAGAATTCTACACCAACTCTCAAATCTTTTTCTTTTTTAAGTAGAAGCAAAAGACTTTCTTGTGTATAGCATCAGCTGACTAAATGTGGGCTGAGGTGGGGATAATGAATACAACACAAACAGGACTAGATTTTTTTTTAACATTTTATTTATTTATTCATGAAAGACACAGAGAGCCAGAGGGAGGAGAAGCAGGCTCCATGCAGGAACCCAACGTGGGACCTGATCCTGGAACTCCGGGATCACACAGGACTAGATTTTTATGGCCCTAAATGAAGCTAGTCAAGAGCCATGTTAGAAATCTAACAGCATCTTTGCCAGAGAAGCAGCCCTAAATCGTGTTCCACCAATTGCTGATATTCCCATGAGTGTTAGGCTTCTATCTAGCATAGGCCTAAGTTCCCCAGTGCAGTTTCTTTTCTTGAGCAGTCCTGAACTGCAAGGTCCACCAGGCTGTCAAAGTGTGCCTCCTGAGCCACACAAGACATTGTCAGGCAGCGAAAGCTGGTCAAGCAGATGCCAGTGGTCATTCAGTAGTTCATAGTAGGATCCTGTAGCTGCAATTTCAATGGAACTAAAACTTTAAAGTCTTAATGAAAACTGCCTTTAGAATCAGTTCTTTTAGAGTTTTTCCATTTGATTTGAACTCTTCAATTCCTTTATATCCCAATCGTCTTTGGAAAGTACATTGAAGAATTTGCCTAGAGGGTGTTTTCCTGTATTATAAGGCCATATACTCAAAACAGAGGCAGTTTAATTTCTAGGCTCCAAGCCAAAGTTTTATAAAAGTCTCATGAGATTTTGATGAAAAAATAAGCAAAGGGGCTCTTGTCTTTTTGGTCTTCCTGAACCACATTGTTCTCTCTCCAGCAGCACAGGTATGCACCTGTGCACGTACAGCTTAGTGTCTGCCTTCCCCCTTAGCTTCCCCACCTCTGCTCACTTACTAAGCCTCCAAAGATATGGAGATTTATGGGAGGTTTCTTGACTCTCACAGTCCAGAGATGCTTGTGTTGCTCTTTAATTTCCAACTACAATCAGAACCCAGGAGGGCTCTTGGCAAGTTCACTAAGTACATGTCCTTCCAAAGTCCTCGCCAATGGTCCATCAAGGCCCACAGGGTAAAGGGGAAGCTTGTGCAGGCTAGGATCCTGGGTCAGGATCCTACTTCAGTCTGGGTCTAGATCTTCCTGGAAAAACCCTAAAATATAAAATGTACTTCTAGAATTTTGCCTAAAGATATAAGAGATGAACACAAATATTTACACAGATGACTCACTGCCACTTTATTTTACAGAAGCAAAAAACTGCAATGGTAGAATACTAACCAATTGTGGCTCAAATATGCCTTGGGCTCCCATGTAGCTCTCAATCCTATGTTTTGTTTAGTTTTGTTAAGATTTTATTTATTTATTCATGAGAGACACAGGGAGAGAGAGGCAGAGACACAAGCAGAGGGAGAAGCAGGCTCCCTACGGGGAGCCCAATGTGGGATTCGATCCTGGGACTCCAGGATCACACCCTGGGCCAAAGGCAGACGCTCAACCACTGAGCCACCCAGGCATCCCATCCCATGTTCTTATATACTACTGAATGACTTAATGCTTGAACTATCTATTGTGTGAAAAGGCTACAGAACGGTATCAACAGTTGGTCCTCGTTTTTAAAAAAATATTTTTAAAAATGGTAAGATATTTATCAAAGTATCAATAGTTATCTCTGGCTGGTGGGATAATGAGTGAATTCATTTTTGATGACTATATATTACCTTTACAGTAAACATATATTTCCTTAATAATCAGAAAAAAAATGCAGTTAACCCCGCCCCCTCCACCCCCACGGTACTTCTCATATAAATCCCCAGATGATCTTGTTCATGTACATTGTGATTCAGGCGGCTAGGGGGCAGGCTGGAGGTTCTGCATTTCTAATGAGCTCCCAGGTGATGACCATGCTGCTGCTTCCTGGCCCACACTTTGCAGGGCAAGGAACTAAAGTATGTCCTTGCAGAGGCTAGAGATAGCTTTATCAGAGCTGAATCAGGCTCAAGCTAGACCACTCCCCACATTCCATGTTTTTATTCTTCAGTGGAAAGCAACAGGACACACCAGGCCTGATTTAGACTAAGTCACAATGTCTCTGCCAGGTTCCCAAAAAAAGCTGTTTTCCCACCTGTACATTCCCTCTTCTAAGGCCCAGACATCTCCAGAAATAGCCATGTGACCAGACATACATCTGGGCTGCCAGTATTTCACAGTGTTTCTGATGCTATACCTCCTAGGCCAAAGGCCTTTTCCAGAAGTTGTGTCCATGGCCCAGCTCAACTGCACCCTCTTCCAGAAGCTTCCTCTGATCTCACACCTAGCCCTGATCCTGGCATGCCTCTCCAGCTGTTTGGGCAGATGTCTCACCTCCTCACATAGACCCCAGGCTTTGCAGACACTTGCCACTTCCCATGGAGAGGGATGGTGGAGCTAACTGGAGAGTGCTGCCCAAACCACCAATATCCAGGCCAAAGGATGGACAATCATTTATTTGACGACCATGCAGGATTTCTAGGACACTAGGACAATGAGACAGAGCAATGTGACTACAAGCTCACATAGGCTTGCATGGTAGAGAGAAATAGACATCATGGGCAGAGACATATGGTTCTACATTCAAATCCCTGCTCTGTCATTTACTTAGCTGAGCACCTTTACTCGGGCAGCCTTTTAGCAAAACCGTCCAAGGGAAATGAGAAGGTTGCTGCATTTGTAGGTAATCAGGAGAGGTCATTTACTGTCATTTCATTCACATGAAAGAATTATCTCAATACCTGATCCACAGTTGAGCAAACTCACATTTCTCCACTTGTCTTCCTGGAAAAAAGCAATCACAAGAAAAACTCTGTCCCATGTTCAAAACAGGGCTAGCACATGGCTAACTGCAATATTTATCTTTCTAGAACACAAGCGATAAGGAAATCTTCTGCAGAGCTGCTACTGTACTGCGGCAGATCTATACACACAACTGCTCCAACAGATATCTCAGAGGACTCCACAGGAACCTCAGCAGCATGGCAAACAAGGTAATCTGAATCATACCTACAGTTTGGCTCCTGACTTTTAAACATTCCTCCTTAAGAGTCATAATACCCTTGGTTAATCAACCCATTCATTCACTCAGCAAATACTTATTGAGGGTCTGTGAGTGCAAGGTGCTATTCTAGGCACTCAGGATACAGTGCCTGGTCTCACAGAATGTTCTAGTGGGAGAGTTAGAAAAGCAAACAAACATGTAATATTATGTCCAGGAGAGATAAATGCTCTGAACAAAAATACAGGAATGAAGAATATAGGGGTCATGAGGGAGAGGGATGATTTAACAGTTGGTGACATCATCTGAGCAAACATTTGAATTAAGTGAAGGAGCAGGCTAAATGACTAGCTGGGGAAATAACATTCCAGGCAGAGGAAATAGCTGTCCAAAGGCCCTGAGGTAGAAATGAGGTTCACATGTTCAAAGATCAGGAGGAAAGACTGGGTGGTTGGATCAGATTGAGCAAGGGGGATTTTGGCAGATTACACATGGTCTTTGGTTTCTACCCCAAGTATGGCAGGACGCACCCACAGAGTTGGGAGCTGAACAGACTACAATCTGATTTATATGATTTAAAATAATCATTCTGGCTGCTGTGTGGTAAATAAACTGAAAAGAGCTAAGCACAGAAGCAAGATGTTCTACTGGGAGGCCATCACAGTAACCCAGGTTGGAGATAATAGTAGTTTCCACAGACTGGGAGCAAAAGAGGTTGTTATGGGCAGCCCAGATGACTCAGCGGTTTAGTGCTGCCTTCAGCCCAGGGTGTGATACTGAAGACCCGGGATCGAGTCCCATGTCGGGCTCTCTGCATGGAGCCTACTTCTTCCTCTGCCTGTGTCTCTGTCTCTGTCTCTGCCTCTCTGTTTCTCATGAATAGATAAAGTCTTAAAAATAAAAAAAGAGGTTGTTAGATTTGGGATATAACTAAAAATAGAGCTAAGGGGCACCTGGGTGGCTTGGTAGGTTAAGCATCTGCCTTCGGGCTCCAGGTCATGATCCTTGGGTCCTGGGATCAAGTTCCACATCAGGCTCCCTGCTTCTCCCTCTCCCTTTGCCTGCTCCTCCACCTACTTGTGTTCTCTATGTCAAATAAATAAATAAAATCTTAAAAAAAAAACAATAAAAATAGAGCCAGAAGACCCATTGTGAGGGATGAGGGAATGAGTAAAAAGGGGCTTCTTGGTTCCCAGCCTGAGCCTTTTGGGAGAGGGCTGGTGCCCAGAAAATTGGGCACAGAGCAGTGCTGGAGGTTGAGCAGAAGATCAGGAGTTCAATTTATCAATACTAAGTTTGAGGTACCTCTTGGATAGTCAAGTGGAGATGCTGAGATTATTGGAAAAGACTGAGGCTTTGGGGAGAGGTCAGAACTTGTTCTATAAAAGAAAGAGTCCTCAGAAGATGTTATTCAAAAGTCCTAGACCTGCATGACATAGAAAAGAGATCTAAGGACTGAGCCCAGAAGCATTCTAACATAAAGAGGTCAGGAAGAGATCCAGCAAAAAAGACTTAGAAGTAGCTGGTGAAGGAAGGGGGAAACTGAAGAGTGTATGGTGCCCCAGACAGAAGAGAAGAAACTCTTCATAAGAAGAGATCCAATGTGCCAAGTGTACCAAAAGGTCAAGTCAGATGAAGATGAGAATGGCCACTGGATCTGGAATAATAGCCTGACTGAGCAGGTTCCACAGAGAATGCTGGTAAGGAGGAGTGAAAAGAAGGGGCAGTGAGTTCAGAAAACCCTTCTGAGGTGTTTTGCTATAAGATTGCAGAGAAACAGAACAAGAACTGAAGGGCAGCAGTAAGGGAAGCTCTTTTGAGGTGGGGCATATGTCCACACCAGTGGGAATGATCCAGCAGAGAGGGGAGAATTGATGGTGTAGGAAAGAGGAAGAGCTCAGAGTAGATGTTACCTAGTGCCAAATGGAGGAATTGGGGGCATTCATCCCCTTGCTGGGCCTGTCACCTGATTCTTAAGGCAAAGAAAAGGAAGAGGGAGGTGACACTACACTCATTCTCTCTTTTAATCCATTTAATTAGCATTTAAGTAGGCACAATTGTCCCCATTTACCGAGGGAGGAAATTGAAGCTTTTATAAATGAAGTGGTTTGTCCTAAACAATGTAATTAATAGAGCTGAGGTTCAAACTAAAGCAGTGACCTGGGGTAGGTACCTGGAATCCTTTCCACCTGAGGTGCTGTCAAGCTGGAGTCTTGCTGTTTATGGGCAGGAGGGCAAAGGGAATGAATCTCTCTCTCAGCAGTCCAGGCAGCCATGCAAAAGGCCCTACACCTCATGTTATAGCCCTGAACAGTACTTAGCTGTGACATACCTTTCTGGAGTCTGCGGCACCCCCTAACGGTACACGGTTAGTGACAGTACAGTGACCAATTCTAGGAGCACAGAATTAGACTAGAATGTACAGAAGACCAGGAAACCATGCTGGCCTACTGGCAGAGACAGATTCTCATGCAAACTAGACTGAAGGCCTTGGTTGGAAAGAATTGTTCAGGTGACAAGTGCCAGAGGAGACCTGACTCAGTGATCTAGCAATGCAAGCTAATGAAATGTTTTGGGTTTTTTGCAGACCTGTTCTATGAATGAAGTCAAGAAGAGTACACTGAAAGACTTCTTAGAAAGGCTAAAAGTGATCATGCAGAAGAAATACTACAGGCATTGAAGCTGAATATTTTAATTTATGACTTTTTAAATAGCTTTATTTTAAAAATATTTATATATTTATAACATAATAAAATAAAATATATATAGACTCTAACAGCACAGTGTCACTTCAATGGCATTGGCTATATTTACTTGACAACTTTTGGGGAAACCAATTTAATTTACTAAGAGACTAAAATTGGTATAGAGGTAAAAGAAGAAAAATCGTTCCCCTCTCAAGGAGTTCCCTTTCCAGAGCAGGACATAATGTACAAAATGATTAAAGACTACAAGGCCATGCAAGATGTACATGATAGGAGAGCTTGCAGAGTGGGTCCATGAGTACTACTACCTACGAACTAATGTTGAATAAAAAAAGGCAATGGGGCACTTGGAGAGGCTCAGTTGGTTAAGCATCTGCCTTCAGCTCAGGTCATGACCCCAGGGTACTGGGACTGATCC